CCGGTGCCGCCGTTACCCGGTACAGCCCGCTGAACGGCACGTCGATGGGCAACGAGAAGAGGTTGCGGGTCATCTCCTCGAAGGCCTCCGCCAGCTGCTGCTCGGCGTCGCCGCCGCTCGCCAGGCGGGGCTCGCAGCCCAGCAGGATGCGCATGGCGATGCGGAACATCAGGCGCTTCACCTGCGGGTAGACCAGCAGGCCGCGCTCGCCGCAGCGCAGCCACCGCTCCAGGCAGCTGCCCACCTCCTCGGCGATCACCGGCACGTAGCACTGCAGCGCCTCGCGGCTGAAGGCCCGCATGATTACCTGAGCCCCGAGGAGGGGAGAGCGTTAAGACTTGGCCCCAGGACTCTCGTCTCCGGGCCCCCCTTCCGGACAACCCGACTCCGCCAGACCCGACGCACTTCCCGGCTGAGAAAGCTCAGCTGGGCTGGAGAGGGTCCTAGCCGACGTCTCCTGCAACCAGCGCTCGCCCAGCATCTCTCTGCGTGAACCCCTCCGGCGAATGGGGTCCCCCTTCCGGTCCGGGCGCCTGCACCTCCGCCCTCACCTTCTTGCGCTGCTTGTGCGAGGAGTCGTGCAGGTTGGAAAGGCAGCCGGAGCCCAGGATGGTGCGCACGGACGCGGGCCAGTGGACCGACACCAGCCGGTGCTCGCCCAGCAGGATGCGCCGCACGTTATCCGCGCCCATCACCCGCACCGTGGGCCGCCCAAACAGATGCGTCTTGTAGATGAAGCCGTATTTCCTGCGCTTCATCTGCAGGAACTTCCTCCGCTGCGAAAGGAAAGCAGAGGAGAGAGGCGGGCGTGAGGGGGCGCCGGGGAGCGCCGCGCCTCGGGCTTGCCCAGGTCCGAGCCGCAGTCACGTCCTCCCGGGGGCGCTGGCCCGGCTTCCTGGGAAGCCCGGAGCCGAGTCCGGAGAATCGTCACTCCTGACCCAAGCTGCCTTACCTGTAGCACCATCTGCAGTGTTTCCCCAAAGAAGGGAAAGCCCATCGTTCCGGGGGGCAGAGGGAGGGCGCAGCTGCGGTCGCGGCTGCTCACGCAGTACAGGTCCCAGAGCTTGATCGCGGCCAGGAACAGGAGCAGCGGCAGCACGAAGGTGCAGAGCGCGCTGGCCAGCAGCGCCGGGAGCCCCATGGCGAGCCCGCCTTCCGCGCCACCTGCCGCCGCAGCGCGCTGAGCCCCACCACGCGCCGCTTTATAGGCGGCCCAGGTTGCTGCCCACGTTACCTTGGTCAGACAAATTAGTTCACCCAAAGTTCATCTTTAATTGCGGATTGGGTCCCTGGCTCCTCCCCCCGCGAGGCGCTGCCCAAAATCTTTAACCGTTTG